TGAGACAGGTAATTGGAAGAAGTAATAAGTGACTTTCAACCAGCCTTTATATACATTAGCTAAAGAAACAATAACCATGAAACTGCAAGGGGGTCCCAAACTGCAAAACATCAGAAGAGTCACCCTTTTGAAAAGAGTGTTTGGTCTAAGAAACAAAGCCCAAGCAAATATCCCCCCCCCCCAATTTCCTGCCGCCCAGCAATTCCCCCACTCTCTGTCTCTATCACCCACTCTTGACTCTCCCGGACAAGTTTTCTGATGAGGTCAAGTAATGAGGGGCCAACTAGCTATGGCATTGTTAGAATCTGTGCACCGTAACTGTGAAAAAGACAAATTCAAGAAACACGTCTCCATTGGTTAATATGGAGCACCAATAAAACAATAAGCACAGCAGGACTTCCATCACAATTTCACACACAGTATGAATATCAGACGGGAACTTGCAAATGTTGCAGCCTTTCTGCTATGAAAGGGCATTGCCAAGTATTGGGGGCAAGTCACCGCAAGGAAAATAACTCAGCTCTTTGATAGCCTTGATCGCTTATTTATTTATTTTAAAATGTGTGTCTCTGTGCTGGTTCTTGCCCTTTCCCAGTCTTCCTAATGAATGATTGTCTCCTCTTCAAATACTGTGCTAACATAAATCTCATTTATTTCAATGAGCCTTGTACCTCTGGGGGTGCCCTGGGGGTCAGGCAGAAGCCGTATGTTCATTTAATGCATGCTAATAATGTGTGATAATAAATTGACTGTGTGTAATTGTCATAAATTTCATCCTAACTGACAGCACTAAGTTGTTTGATAGCTTGTGTTTAGTCATAGTAACACTTGGGGGGCTTTTCTTTTTAATTGTTTTATGATAGGGCTATTTAAATTTTTTTTAAAACCCCCTCAGTATTTACAAATATATATCAGCCTGAAACTGTTCTGCTTAGACACTTGGCAGAGACAGTCTTATAGCGCAATCCTATGCAAGTCTGCTCCCACGTAAGTGTGCATAGCAGGAGTTGCTAACCTGTGTAACCTCTTGGCTTCCAACTCTTATCAGCCCCAGACAGCAAAACTGAGAGGAATGCTGGAGATGTAGTCCGGTGACACTGAGGGGGCCACAGGTTAGCCATCCCTGGTGGCCTTCTTTCCTCACCTCCCTGCTGCCCTGTGTGGCCGACCCCTTGCATCTGATATGCCTTCTTTGGCATCAGAGGCAGGATAAATGCTTCCATGCATTTTGACACAGTTTCCCTTGGAAATTCTGTGAAAACAGCACAAGGTACATACAGGGTACCATTTTTGAGGATGTATCTATACAGTAGTACCTCGGGTTACAGACGCTTCAGGTTATATACGCTTCAGGTTACAGACTCCGCAAACCCAGAAATAGTACCTCGGATTAAGAACTTTGCTTCAGGATGAGAACAGAAATTGTGCGGTGGCAGCGGGAGGCCCCATTAGCTAAAGTGGTACCTCGGGTTAAGAACGGACCTCCAGAACGAATTAAGTTCTTAACCCGAGGTACCACTGTACTCATTTGTGAGAGAAAGGCGTTGGGAGTAAACCCTGAGGAAAAATCTGTACTGACTGCCTTGCAGTCTTCGGGAGAAGTAACGTCTAAAGAGTACAGTGGTACCTCGGGTTAAGAACTTAATTCGTTCTGGAGGTCCGTTCTTAACCTGAAACTGTTCTTAACCTGAAGCACCACTTTAGCTAATGGGGCCTCCTGCTGCTGCCGCACAATTTTTGTTCTCATCCTGAAGCAAAGTTCTTAACCCGAGGTACTGTTTCTGGGTTAGCGGAGTCTGTAACCTGAAGCGTCTGTAACTTGAAGCATCTGTAACCCGAGGTACCACTGTAAATGCTACACAAATCTGGAGTGGAGGCCCTAAGATGGTTGGACGGTGCCTTGTACGCCTCCTTCCAGCAAACCCTGCATTTGTGCTCTGCTTTCCTTTGGACAACATCAGAAAGGTGGGGAGGGTGGTCTTCTGGGCAGCCCAGGACCTCCATATACACTGCCCAGGCTTGTCCCCCAGAGAGGTCACTACACAGTTTGACTTCATCCACACAGATGCCAACAAAAAATCTGTTTGTTTATGCATTTATAAGCTACCGTGTCCCTTGTCCAGGGTATCCAAAACCATTTAAAAAATCACAGTTAAGATTGTAGATGGCAACAATAAAAACAAGAGAGAGCTTTAAAAAACAAACAAACCCCATTCTGAGGCCTCATTCCCACAAGTGGTAAATGAAGTGATGTCTGGACGAGGGAATCCACATGACGGAGTTCCTCCTCCACGCAAAATATTCTCTGAAAACTAGCACCTGGGGAGGTGGTTTCTAGATGAGCTTCATTCCTGCCAGATTTCTGGGCTCGCCTGCTGTCTGCCCAGAAAGTGGTATATTGCCAACATATTTGCTCCTTATGAGAACTAGTTCTCATTTCCTGGTTGAAAGGTTTTGCAACAAGCCCTTCCTACCAGGAGAGATGCCCTCAGATCTGCAGGTCCATGGAAGGTTTTAAAGGGATCGGAGGGTAACCAGCATTTCCAAGGCACTTCCAGAACTGGACTCCATCCGGTTAGCACCCAAATATTTCTAATGGATAGCATTTTTGGCCTTGGGCAAGGGAAACCTGGGTTCGCGCACTCCATCTAGGTGGCTTTGATGGCTTGGGTATGTTGTTCTATCTCAGCTTTACCTAGCCTCAAGGTTTGTTTTAAGGGCAAAATAGAGTACGAATATGGATGTTGTCTTTTCCTTGGAGATCACCTTAGATGCAAATTATTTGAAAACCAGACTGTTTGACAGCAGCATACACTTGAGTAGATGCTATAAAAATGCATTATGGGAAAAAAATTAAGTAAAGCCCACGAATGCCTGACTCTACACACCTCAAAGTTCATTAAAATGTCTGCCACATTCACACTAATTAACACATCACAAATACTAGTAGGCAAATTGGCATCGCTGATTAACGGTGCAATTCTTACTATGCCTACTCAGAAGGAAGCCCTATTGAATTCAATGTGGCTTACTCCCATGTAAGCGGATTCAGGATCGCAGCTTTAATTACATTCCAGGCAGGATGAAAACAGCCCAATTTATTTTCTGGAAAGCTCAAGGTAGGTATCGCTGGACTTTTAAAAAATAAAACACCACCAGCCAAACAACAACATCAACAACAATGGAGTAATGTTATTGGTTCCTATCTGCAATAATCTAATGCTGACAGAGAGTAGTATTTTATTTAGTAATTAACAGTGTAAAGGGGAGAGAAGCTGTCATGTTGGTTCTTAAGCTGGGGAATGTGATGAAAGATGATATCTCCGATCTCATCCTTTCCACTTGTTTAGGATTGTCAGGATGAGAAATGTCAGCATTATGAAAGCTCAGCTCTGCTCTTGATATGATAAAACCCTTCAAAAGCCAGTCTCCCTCCCTCCCTCCTCTCTCTCTCTCCTCCCTCTCTCTCCCTGCACTTGCTGCTTCTTTTTTATTTATCCTGTTTTGTTAGATGGCAGAAATATAATTCTTTTCTTTCTTCCTATTATAAGCCACCATTTTTGTTTTATTATATGTTTCACAACCCCTAATGTCCCACTGAAAATTACCTTGTTAAATGACAGTGTTTCAAAGCCATGAATCCTTCCCCCCACCACCCCATTCCCTCTGAGGTTTGAAACAGTCAACAGACTGTAAAGAATAAATAATAAAAAAGTATTGATTATTTTGATGACTGTGAGATTCAATTAAGTATTAATTTTGCCCTCCAGTGGACCTATCAAGGTATTCAAAAGGGAGGGTTCGGCTTGAACTAAATGCGCGCTGAGTGCTTCAGCCTTAAATAGGGAGAAAATGTGTTTACCTACAGTATTTGAAGAAGAGTGCATTGATGCACAGAGTCCAATATTTAAGTGCTGTGCAAATTAAACCCTGGTGACAGTGACATTGTTTTCGGCGATATGAGTATTGACTAAAGAAGTGCATTTGATGACAGCTTAAACTATTTGTATTGATTAACATTTTCATAGATTATCATGTGTCATATCAAATTCACTTTTCAGACATGAATACATTAAAAAAACCCATAGGCAACCACATCGACCAATGTGCGGATGGGGCAGAGGGAACATGCTAACCAACCTATTTCTGCGCTGGTCACCTGTTCTCTGCATAAGAACCATTTAGGCATGAACTTAGCAATAAATAGTTGGGAGATCGCACAACAAGGTCACTTGTTTCTTTTCGGCTCCCCATCCCCACCCCCACCCCAGTTTCTGCTATTTACTGGCAAAACTGAAGAATGCTAGATTGTTTTGGAAATCATAACTGAACTCCCTCCCCCTCCATTCCTCTGAATGAGAAGATCAAATAGATTCAGATAATCAGGAAACATTTGAAAACTATACATATATATTGAGCAGATGCGTTATGGAATTATAATGTCCCAAACACCAGCATGATTGCAAAAATTTAGTAAGTATCCTTTGCTAGTTTTGTCTTTTTCAAATGTGAATATATATGTTTCTTTTATTTGCCTGCCTGCCTGTATATATCTATCTTTTTCCTTAAGTGTGAGATTATGGACTTTCAGAGCCTAATAACCCAAAGGCAAAAGTAAACCTTGCCTTGCCTTGTCTTGATTGTTTTTTGATTATATGAAATACTTGTGCCATTTGAATTATTACTTTGCAGTGTTGTGGAAACAGTTTTAATATTGTGAGCGTTGCTGTTTTGCTTCTGATTTGATTGCTATTGGAGTGAGAAAGCTTTTCCTTTTGAGAGAGAGCGAGAGAGAGCGAGAGAGCTCTAGGACATTCGCAGCCTTAAAAAAAGCAAAGAAAAAAGCGCTGCTGGACCATCACCCCTTTCTTACCGCATTAAAGTAAAAGAGCGAGGTGTAAAAACATGCACACAAAAGAAGCACGTCCCACAATTAGAGCTGCGCTGCTTATGCCGCTTCCCCTGAAGTTTTCTCTCCCAGGCATCCGGAATCTCTCACATGCTAGTTGAGCTTTAATAGGGTGGGGAGTAATGGAAAACTCATTGGATCTGTAATAGCTCTTCACTTGACTGCAGCCAGCAATAACAGCAGGAGCAGCCAGAGATAAGAGAAGGAGTGTGTGTGTGTGTGTGTGTGTGTGCGCACAAGAGAGAGAAAGGGGAGAGAGGGAGTGAGAGATAGGAATACGCGCACCAAAGCTGCCACTTCCCTCCCCCCCTCACTCTTTTCCCCCCACATCCTAGGATCCAATGATAGCTGGACAAGTCAGTAAGCCCTTGCTGTCACTGCGGAGTGAAATGAATGCAGAGTTGAGAGGTGAGGACAAGGCAGCTGCTTCAGACAACGAGCTGAATGAGCCCCTGCTTGCGCCTGTGGAATCAAATGACAAGGAGGACGCTCCCAGCAAGCTCTTCGGTAAGTCTGCCTAGGTCTTGCATCTTTGGGTGGCTCTTGCCTGGTGTCACAGGAGGCGAGAGATGGGAGGCGAGAGGAGATGGGGACCACTTTCTGCCGAGCCACTTTGCCCACGTTGTCTCCCTGCCCAGCTTGGTGGCTGGCAAAAGTTTGATCTTGGAGGGCGGATGGCTCTGTGCAGCTGCCCAGCTGCCACCTGCAAGCCGCGCGCTCTGGGGCAGTTCTCAAACAGCCCCATAGGCATCTTTGGGGCACCCCCCAGGCTACTCTTGCTACCTTTTGTCTCTTGGATGTTTCATTCTTGTGCTACCATGTTGTCCAGAAAAAAGTAATCACCTGGGTTAGTTGCTTTGGTTTTATTACAAATTACTGCGTTAAATCTGGAGGGTGCAGGCAGCCTTTCAGATTTTCCTTGCGCTGTCTCTGAACGCTCTCTTGCCCAGAGTAAACTTTTCTTAAATATTTAGAAGAAGAGCCCCCCTTTTTTTGTTTGTCACTCTTTAAAAAGAGATCATGTTTCTTCACCTTTGGTTAGCCATTATAATTCCACTTTAGGGAAATTTGATTTGAGTTTAATTCAGTGTAAACTTAAAGAATGATGCATTTTAAATATAAGAAGGAAATGAAATGTGGACTAGAAATGTATTGAATGGTACATTCTGGCACACTGTGAGTAAACTGTGTGTTTTAAACAGCTGGATAATAGCTAAAGAAAACATAGCCTTTCAGGAATATTGGTTTCATATCCAAAATGAAAATAAGAAGTGTGACACTCCAGCCCAGACATCTGTCATTCAAACCAGTGACACCCTGTAAGACAACTCAAGCAACTGTAATCTCTAATCAGAAAAGGGAGCAGAGCGTGTTCGGGGGGGGGGTGCTTGAGTGATAGATGTTGATATATGTCTGTGCTGGAGCAGTACTACACAGCAGAATGTGACATTTGGATTCTACAGCAATTGCTTCTGAAAGAGTCTCTTTTAATTATTTCCACGTGTTACTCTTTTTAAAAAAGGGCTAGGAAGCCTGTACAGGAAACATGCATTTGCATTTTACAAAAGTATCTTGTTTGGAAAAAGAATGTACCTTTTAAAAAACAACAACCAAAATTATTGTTATTTTTGAAATCTGTAAGGAAGGTGAAGATATACTCAGATGTCTGTATTTTCACTGCAGCAATAAGCTGCAAAATGATATTTGCAAGAGGTTCATGCAATATTGATCAAAAGAGATGCCCTATCATTTTAGAGAGACAGGTAGATGCAGAAAAATAATGTAATTATATAACATGACCAACTGCATAATTATATTTGAATTATATAATGCCTACTATAGAGTGTCATTTCCTATTAAATGCAAGTTGTTAGTGATATCTATTTCTATGAAAAGAAGAAAAAATAAGACAATTTCCTTTTCACATGTGAATGTTTAGCTGCCATCTGATTGAATCTATTTCATGCAGGGAGTGACATGTGATGTTTTCAAAAATTATAAAGCTGATATTTCCAAGTAACATCTGAACAATTTTAATAATCTTAAATGTCCAAGTATTTTGAAAAGTAAGAGATCGATTTAAAAAATCTGGCTGCTTTGGAAGTTGGCTATCCAACACTATTTACTGCTAAATTCATTTAGACATCAAACTTAGAACAAAACTATTTGTACTCTTGATTGCTGTTCAATCAGGCTATGTGCTTTAAGTACAGACACAAGTTTTATAATAAAGAATAGCATCTCCTTAATGATGATTATATGGTTATTTATAGTAGGAAACTTCTGTTCAGGTATTGCTAGAATAAGAATAATATTTCTATATTGTTTTAAATTGCCATAGAATTAAATTGCAACAGGTCAGTTCAAGATGAAAAATATGGAAGAAAAGTGACTAAAAATTAGATCTTCTTAAATTAATATAAATACTGTGAAATCTCAATGATTTCAACGGCTATTTAGCACTTAAATCTTATATTTGTATCAATGGGACTTGAAACAGTTGAATTTTGGCTGATGGTTCCTTCTTTTAACAGTACCAAGAGAGCAAAAGATCAAGTTCCTCGTTTGCATGTATTTGATGCAGCTGGAGTGAGTAGCTGTAAATAATCCTCTTTAAACCACTAACAGGCCAGTCCTATACATGTCTATTCAGAAACAAGACCCATTGAGATTATAGTACTCAATCCCAGGTAAATGTCACAGGATTGCAGCCTTAATCAGAAACAGTCCCATTGATTTGAGTGACAATGCTTGAGGGGGCGGCACTAAATATCCCTGTATAGAAGGCACTTCTATAGAGTTGTACTTTGCATTCAGATTATATATACCTCTAATTAAAGGGAGATGTAGGAGGAGAAAGGGACGAGGCTTTGGCTGTAAAAGGCAATAGAAGTGTATCAGAGACACGTGGGAATGTTTAGAGTTTAGACCATGTCATGCCTGTAATTTGTGGTGTGATTTTGTATATTTAATTAAACAAAATTAGGACATTCAATTTTCTTGTCTGTGGAAGAGAAAGTTCCCCATAGCTTTGTGGTCTTCCGTAACAGTTTCCCAGTGTTTAGAAAAGTTGATGTCATTGTTCGGGTCACATTTTATCATCATTGTTTATGTATCTGGATGTCACGCTTTCATCATTTGGTTAAACATTTTTATTATTGTCTAGGGCTCTGCATCTTTGTCAAGAGTGCATCTCTTCTTCACACAGACAAGGGGATGGAATAAGGGCTGAGGCCCTCAACTTCCACTCCCCCCACTCCCCCGGCGTTGCAGTATCTCACAGTTTCCCACAATTGTAGTGTTAGATGGTTTTATGTGTTAATATCTGATAGGACATAGTAGGAAGCCGGCTTTTTTCCAGGCAGCAGCTCCAGGTTTAGGTGGCAGAGATTCAAGATTAAGATTGATAGTACTCTTTCTTTCTTCTTTCTCCTCTTCCTCCATCTTTTTCTTTTTTGGCTTGTGAAGGCAATACAACACGCGTCTGGCTCGCCTCCAAAATGTACACTTTGGCACCAGTGGCAGAGAACTGAAGAACGCTAGTCTGAGTTTATTTAGCTTTCAAACAAATGCTAAGAACTTTGACAAAGATCCTTGGCTAACGTCACTGGTTTTAATATATTTTTTTATATCCTAGTCTTCATTTTGTGAAGTAACTTCATTTAAAAAGTACCTTCCTTCCTCAATGAAACCCTAATTCTTGTGCTCATCAGCTTATAAACATCTGATATCTTTCCTGTGCTTAATTCTGGGAAAATATTACCTGGGTGAACCTAAGTTCCATTTAAAGTGAATGCAAAAGTCGTGATAAAGGACCACTGTGTTCACTAAAGTATTACATCAAGAGTAATATTTTGCTTAACTTGCATAGTTCTAAGAGCTACATTACACTAATGTGATATAAATCCAGATTTCATTGAGAAACATGAGGTCACAGAAGACCATGTAGCATTTAAGTGATACATTATTTATTCCTATTAATAGTGGTATGAGGGGAGTTGATCCCTATTTTAGTTAGCATGAGAATATTAAGAAATAAGCAAAAAGTTTGTAGAATGATTTAATTTATAGGCTTGCCGCTGTGCAGAGAATTAATAAATATATGTTCACTGTAGTACTGCATTTCCAGTTCATGACATTGGCACAATTTTAGGTCTCTTACAAGCATAACAGCAGACAGAATGTGTACTATATAATTTGACTCTGTGAATACTATTTCCCGCATGATGTTTTAAGCCTAATAACAGTTTTAGAACAAATAATTATTAATCCTTGACATGGCATTTATATACACCATAACGATATTTTTGTTTTAAGCATTCACCACCAGTCTCTTCGTGTGAACAGGCATAAAATATCAAGGGCTATAGCCCTGACCATATTCCCTATAACAATTGTAGTGTCTCAGAGGTTTGCACCTCCACCTGTGTCCTGCATGCCCCTAAAAAGTCTCTTGCTGCAGTCCTACGGAATACCAAAGTTGTTCTAGGGTTAGGGGGCAGGCTCTTTCTGGTGGTCTAGGGCCACTGGCAGCACCTTCTTGCCCTTTTGCCACAGCTCCCCCCATGGCTTGCTCTGTAGGGCTGTGCTGGGCCACACAGAGCCCGCTGCCTCCTGCTGGTCGCTGTCACCACCCGAGTTCAAGGAGTGGGTTGGGCTGCCAGACGAAGAGGATAAGAAGCTCTTTTAGGCTCTTTTAGGCTCCTACTGCCCGGCAGCACAGAACGATGCTGTTCGTATCGAAACGTGGGATTTTGAACGTATAGCAAATAAAGTTCATTTGCAAAACCAAAGTCTTCCATTTGAGGTACAGCCCAACTGCCCCTGAAATCAGCTTTAGAAGTGACCGACAATTTTGACTGGTCCTCCCAATCAGGTGGGGGGAAATAATACATTACATTAATAGTCAGATAGACTCCAATTCCAGTTTTCCTATATATGTAACCCAAAGTGAAAATCTATTTATGGTGTGGGAAATGGGAACATTTGAGCCAACTTCTTGACATGTTTTGTGAACATTTAAGACTGTTTAGTGATCATTATAACAGTGCCTGGAAAACACACACACACACACACACACACACACACACACACACACAGTACTCTTTGTTAGCACTAGTGGATTTATCACAACCTTCATCAACTTGGTGCCCTCCAGGTGTTTTGGACTACAATTCCCACCGGCCCCAGGCTGGCACTGATGGGTGTTGTAGTCTAAAACATCAGGAGAGCACCAAGTTGGTGAAGTCAGTTGCTTTATCAAATCAAAGTTATATGCTGCAAAGTGCTAAAAGTGCTAAAATAATAAAGTGCTAAAATAATAAAATCCAGTGGTTTACTCCCTTAGAATAAAAAGAAACAGGACATAGTCAAACGTATATCCTATGTATAGCCCCCCTGATTTCAGTAAAATTACTAGATGAGATGCTGGGAGATATATGATTAGATCCCTTTTAGTATTTGCTTTAGTTTAGAACAGCTGTAAAGGTAAAGGTACCCCTGCCCGT